CCCGCCAGCGCCCCCCGCCCCCCCCCCTCGAGACGCCTGGGTGCATCACGAAGAAAATGGAAAAAGCAAGACCCAGCAGAGAATGAACAAAGGCCTCTCCCTCCCGCGCGGTTCCTTCGCCAACCCAGGGAAGAGGGGGGTGTCAAGCGACAATCCCGCGTTCGGACGAGCGCCGGAAAATGCTGGAAGCTCTTGAGCAACAGGCCGGTGGCTGCACCACGCCCAGTGGTCCCGGCCGGGAGAGCGCACATCGACGCATGCATGCATGCGTGCATGCATGTTTGCAAGGTGTGTCGCACCTCAAAGAGCGACCGGCCCGTGGCGATATCAGCCAGCATGGGGGCCGGTCTCTGTCGGGTTGTTCTCTTTCCTGGCGTTTCCCAGCGCAAGGGGGCCGGGGCGGGGTGAAACGCGCCCCGGGCGATACGGAGTGACCCGGGTCTGATCACATGTCCGCATCATGACCAGGGAATGCTTAATTGGGAATATCGTGGATTTCCCCTCTTTCCTCCGTTGGCGCTTCCGCCCCCTCGCCCCCTGCTTCCGGCGATCGGAGCGGGTGCGGCACGGCCACTGACAGCTTGGGGAGGGACGCGAGGGGGGGGGCGGGGGGCGGGGGGCTTGGTGGTATCTTTCCGCGAGTAAGGGCAGCGTCTGAACTCCCGAGAATGCTTGGAAGATGCCAGACCCCCCTCAGAGCTCCCTTGCACTGCCTTTGCGTTTCTCGAGCACCAGCGGCGGTCATGACAAAGGGGAGGGGTTTTCTTGCGTCCTGTGTGAATGGGGGCATCCGTTCCCTGGCTCCAGGCATACACAACTGTGCCCTCCTCCACCCTTAATCAGAGAGGTGGGAGGGAGTAATTTGTCCCTCCCCTTGACCGCACAGGCGCTTGTCCTTCGGGCCCGTCTTCCGCTCGTTCCGACACCCGAGCAGGTCGTTCCTCCGGAGGTCGTTCCGCCCGAGGTCGCTCCTGCGCTGGCTTCACGATGCCAACGATCACCTGCGGACACTGACTTGAGAGTTGTGGATGGCTCGGGGGG